TGTAGTAGTACACTTGCATTATCCTAATAAAGTAAGAAATCCAACTGCAAAAAAATGAACTGTAAAACTCATAAATAAAAGAAGGCTTGCTCCTGAGACAACTGAATACTTGAATCAAGAGTAAAATTTCAAAAACAATTAATTTAATTTTAATACATTGTCAAACCAACAAAGATGTGTTATTGTCTATGATAATAGAAAGCGAGTAAAATTGGCAATCTGGTGTTCTAATAGAAGGGGAATGAAGATGGAGATGTCATGTTCATGATTCAGCCTATTGTATTTAGGGTTGGACTCGGGCCGGTTCGGGCCAAGTTCGGGCCTGGGCCCGGCCGGGCCTCGGGCCGAAAAGGGAGGCCCGAGCCCGAACCGCCGGTGGCCGGTTCCGGTCCCGGTTCCGGGCCAAACCGGGCCGGGTTCGGCCCAATTTTTTTTTTGTTCTCCTATTTAATCCCCTACCCCTCCCCCTCAACCCCAAACCATCCCAAACCACCTCAAATGGCCCAAAATACCTAATCCAACCTAAAACATAAAAAAATTTCAAAAAAAAAAAATTAAAATCCGGCCCTGACCGGGCCCGAACCGGCCGGGCCGGTTCACCAAAACCTGGGCCCGAGCCCGAACCGCCCAGCTAGGCATGGACTCGGTTCGGGCCGGGCCCGGTTCGGGCCTTGAACCGGCCGGGCCTCGGTTCACGGTTTGGGAGGCCCGGAACCGGCCCGGGTAACCCCGGGTCCGGTTCGGGCCGGGTGGCCCGCCCGGTTCACGGGCCGGGCCCGGTTCGGGCCGGGCCCGGTTCGGGCCGGGCCCGGTTCGGGCCGGTCCTTTTAATTTTTTTTTTATATTCTATACTATATAATTATAATAATTGTTATGAAAAACAAAATTCAAGTGCATTTATTTGAAATAGGAAGTACATTTGAGAATTGAGGAAAAAATAACAATATGAAATACATTTTCGAATAAATATCAATTGGGATTTCCGCCACCGTTGGTTGTTGTTTTACCTTTGTCACATGACTTCATATGTTTCATTGGCATCCCGACTCCATGTGAACGCCCCAAGCAACACTCTTTCTTGCACAACTTGCAAGTTGCCCACCACAGTCCGGTCTTCGGATCCTTCCACTTGTCAAAGTTGTTTTGCATAACAGAAGAATTACTTTCCATCTTTAAAATGGTAGATGTATAAGTAGAAATGTAGGATAATAAGAGAAGATGAAGATGGAGAAGAGTTGGAGAAGAGGTGTAGAAAATGGTAGAAAATAGATGTATTTATAGATTTTTTTGAACCCCACCCCCACCCCACCACCCCCCGCGACCCCCCCACCCCCCCACCCTAAGCCCCAACGGCTATATAGCCGTTTGGGAGCAATCTCCCACTTCAAAATGTTTTAATTTTCTTTTTTTGAAAATTATACATATTGTGTATAATTTACTTAGAAAAGTGATTTGATTTAGAAAAGTGTAAGGAAAGTGATATGATTTAGAAAATTATACATATTGTGTAAGGAAAATGTTTTTAATTTTTTAATTAAGTAAAACTATTTTTACTTAGAAAAGTGATTTCATTTATAATTTACAAATGTTACAAAATAGGTGTATAAGTTGTAACTTGTATTCTTGTAAGTTTGTAACAAATTAATTAATTTACATATTAATATTACATATTTTAATTTAAAAACAGCCTTTAGATTTTACAAAAATAATTTCAAGTTGTAACTTATAAGTTTGTAAAATTGTAACCAATTAATTAATTTGAGAAGTGCTACATATGAAGTACAAGTTTACAAATGAATTTTATTGAATTGAATTATTGAATTGATGTACACAATAATATAAAATAATTCAAGTATATTTATTTCAAATAAGAAGTACAATTGAGAATTAGGATGCATTTAAAATATGTAATACATTTTGAAATAAAAAATCAATCGGAATCTCCGCCTTCGGTGGTTGTTTCCTCCATAAAGTGGCGGGTGGGAGCGATGGTCATTTCTTGAGTTCTTCGTTTGGCCTTCAACCAATCATGGAAGCAAACTAGCGTCTCAAGAGAGCTCGGGCTCAACCTCGTTCTATAATCAGTTAGGACGTTGCCGGTCGCACTAAATTCTTGTTCCACGGCAACTGTTGATATCGGCATCGCTAGCACTTGCTTAGCCAGTTTTGATAAAACCGGGAACGTTCTTTCATTGTCCTTCCACCACTTAAGAACGTCAAAATCATCCCCAACTTCATAATCAACATTCAATGTTAGATAGATAGAAAGCTCGTTAACTGAGCTTTGTTCAGTAGCGGGAGTTGCTCTACTTTTTTTCATAAGAGAACCAAATGCAGATTTTAAAAGTGATTTTCCTTTAGATGAAGAAGATGTTCGCGGCATGGGAGGGGGTGCATTACCATATTGTGCATAAAATTCATTATACAATTGATGAAATAAATTACTAACCTCGTTGTATTCTTGTTTAGGGTCGATGGGATTATCATCGAACTCTTGAGTTGGAAAAAAACAATTATAATAGTAATCTATACAATTTGGCAACGCGGCAAGTCTATAACGAGGATCAAGAACAAATGCAATACCATATATATTATTAATAATATTTTAATAATATATGCAATACCATAAAATTGTTTTCAATAATAGGAGATTTAGATTTCTTACCAGTTTGGGTTGAACCGCCCTCGTCCTCCAAGTCTTGCTCATCATCCGGGGTGCCGTGAGTCCCGTCGCCCCCCGCGTCCTCCTCCGCATCGTCATCCTCGAGCTCCTCTTCATCAATGGTTGTCGGGATGGGTTGTTCTTGTGCAAAGCGTGGATCGTTTTGGGACAATAGGTTTTGTAGATGCTCGTCGGACATCATCATATCATCTCTCCGTTGGTAATCCGTTTCAAAATCATCTCGACTTTGAAAAGAAGACTCGGCCCGCGCTTTACCTTTGCCTTTGCGTGAATTAGGACGAGTCGACGCAATCTCCCTCTTGCGGTTGCGTTGGAGATTACCCACATCTACAGAATGTCTACCACGTTCCATCTTTAAAATTGAACAAATATTAAATGATATCAAATATTTTATATGAGTACAATAGTAATAATAAAATGTGACTAAGAAAACTATTGCGAATTCGAACTAAAATATGAGTATACAAATCGAACTACTTCTAATTAATACTTTAATGAGAAATGTATCAATTAACTAAATATTAACTAGTTTGACTAATATAAATATGACAAATGTAAAAATTAACTAGTTTTTTTTTACTTTAATGAGCAATGTACAAATTAACTAATATTAATATGAGAAATGTAACAATTAGGTAGTTTAACTAATATTAATATGACAATTTTAACAATTAACTACTTTAGGTAGTTTTTAAAATGACAAATGTAAAAATTTACTAGTTATTTTTACCTTAATGAGAAATGTATACTTTAACTAATATTAATATGACAAATGTAAAAATGTACTACTTTTTTTACTTTAATGAGAAATGTAGCAAGTAACTAATATTAATATGAAAAATGTACCAATTAAGTAGTTTAACTAATATTATTATGACAAATGTAAAACTTAACTAGTTTTTTTTTTTTTACTTTAATGAGCAATGTATGAAATAACTAATTTTAATATGACAAATGAAACAATTAAGTACTTTAACTAATTGAAATATGACAAATGTAAAAATATACTACTTTAACTATTTAATTTTTGAAAGAGAAATGTAGAGAATTGTAACAATTAACTAATTTAATAGATAAATTAGAAGTCTAACAATTAACTACTATTATAAGTAATATATAATATAATGTTTATAGTATATAATATATAAGTATATTACTATAAGATGAGTAATACACTTATACTTAATACTTTAATATATATATATATAAGTATATATTAACTAAATGTAATATGTAAATATAAGTAAATAACAATAGTATGTATAAAAACTAAATATCAAATAAATATGAATGTGTATAAGTATATATAGTATATATAATGTGTAAATATATTATAATTTATAAGTAATATATAATATAATGTTTATAGTATATCATATATAAGTATATTACTATAAGATGAGTAATACACTTATACTTAATACTTTAATATATATATATAAGTATATATTAACTAAATGTAAAATGTAAATATAAGTAAATAACAATAGTATGGATAATAACTAAATATCAAGTGAATATGAATGTGTATAGTATATATACTTATATAGTATATATAATGTGTAAAGAATTATAATATGAATGTGTATAAGTATATATTTTTATATAGATAATTAATATATAAGTAGAATAATAATTATATATATGTAGAAAGAATTTGGAGAAGATGAAGAATGAAGATGATTGAATATGAGAGATTTAGAGTAGAGAATTAGAGAGTAGGAAGAGTTGTAGAAGAAGAGATGTAAAAAATGTAGAGAAAATAGGAGTTTAAATAGATTTTTTTTTATACCCCACCCCCACCCCCACCCCCCACCCCCACCCCCCTAACCCCCCAGACCCCCCCTCCTATGCTCCCAACGGCTATAGAGCCGTTTGGGAGCCTTCCCAACGGCTAGGAGGAGCTGTTCCAATTTAAAATAAAAAATTTTTTTTTTTTAAAAATTTGGCCGTTGGAGGCCCGAACCGGGCCCGGCCCGGCCGGGCCGGTTCACTAAAATGGAGGCCCGGGCCCGGACCGGTATACCACCGGGCCGGGTGGCCCGAACCGGTCAAGAACCGGGTGACCGGGCCGGTCCGGGCCCGCACAGTAGCGGGCCAGTCCGGTTCCGGGCCGGTTGGCCCGGCCTGAGTCCACCCCTACGCCCAGCAGCCGGGCCGGGCCGAACTGAACCGGTGGACCCACCGGGCCCCGGGCCAGGCCGGGCCAAACAGTAACCGGGCCAGGCCGGGCCAAACAGTAACCGGGCCGGGCCGGTTCCGGGCCGGGCCGCCCGGTCCGAGTCCAGCACTAATTGTATTAATACAATAGGAAGAAAAAAATTTAGGAGTCTTCATTAGAGAGTAAAAAACAGGAAGGGATGCTAAAATTTGATAGTATTCTCCAAACAAACATATAAAAGTAAAACAAATCTAATCATCTCCTCCAAAAAGATCAAATCCAATATCCTCCTCGGATTCGTCTTCAACCTTCTCTTCCTTTTTCTTCTCCTCAGCAGCTGGGGCAGCCCCACCGCCACTGGAAGGTGCAGCAGCAACAGCTGCCACAGCACCAGCACCACCACCACTTGGTACGGAAGCTAATTTCTCCCTTCCCGCTGCAATCAACTCTGTGATATCTTTCCCCTCAACTTGAGACAAGAGCAACTCAAGTTTACTGTCATCAGCCTCGGCACCCACTACAAAATCCAAGTTTTGATGTTCAGTAATGACAAGAATACAGAACTACTAGAGTATTGCACATATGAAGCAAATGAAGATTAGGATTTTAGCCAACCCCTAATACTTTTGGAATTAAGGCTTGGATGTTGTTGAAGAACATTCGACCATACAACAAACATGCTGGAATCAAATGTAATCTTTTAAGAGTTGTAGCGTTTTCATCTTTAACTAATGTTTTTTCATAAGAAAGACAAGCAAGGTGCAGCATATTTTCAAAATTACTTGAGTCAATGAGTAATGAAAGAAGAACAAGGACATTGGACTTTATTTAGTAGTCAGTAGAAACCATGTTTGACAGAATAAATAGGATACAGATAAGTAAATAGGTCATTCAATCCAGCACGTAAATAACAAATGCTAATAGTATTTGTTAAAGCTATCATATTTTAAAAAATGCTCAAGAAAAAGGGGAAAAAGCCAAGGCAAGTTGAACTTTTGTTTTTGCTTTTCAAATAATGAAAAAAAAAACGAACAATTCATCATGCCTCACATAATTAATACGGAGTAAGATGTATAAATTTCCAGGTTTTTATAAAGTTTTGCCTTTATTTTCCATCCTGATTTCTTCTCCTAGCAAAATCCAGATTCTAGTGCTTCACAAAAGCTTTAAGTGACAAGATCTGGAGTGGAGTCCCCGCTCTCGCAGAAGAACTGTCTTGATTTATTAATCACAAAATCCTCTACTTTGATATAATTCACATGCGATATAGTGGTAGCAAATTAAATCATCTAAGATGGTCAAACAGACACAATAATGGTCTCTTTCAAAACTTCTATTTGAAATCAATATACTCTCGACTAACAAGACCTTGCAGTTGAAAATATGTATATACACTGAACAGCAAACAAAACTTCACATACACAGATCATGAAACAGATGCGGCATATGTAGAAATATCTGTAATGTAGATTGCGGCATATGTAGAAATATCTGTAATGTAGATTGTGGCATATGTAGAAATATCTGTAATGTAGATTGCGGCATACCAGAGGAAAGGATTTTCTTGATGTCACCGGCGGAAGGGCTGGCTTTGCCTCCCAGCACAGCTAACAAGTATGCGGCGATGAACTTCATGTCTCTTTTCCTCTGTTCAAGTTTCATAAAAGAGAATCGTCACAACACAAATCTACTTAAACAAATCTGTGAATAAAACAATTGAGTTGATTCAAAACAAATAAAAAGACATTTTAACAATAAATAAGTAGACATGAGAAGAGAGAAGTCACAATTTCAGTGAATGCCTAACAGACATGCATTACTATATTAGTTATTGCCTAATTTTGTGGACCTGTTATCCGACAGTTTTGTGATGTGGGGGGTTACTTACAACAGACGACTAACATTTTTAGATTGGATAAGTGGTTAAACATGAAACGCGAATTGCGAAATTTTAAAGATTACAACGAACAGAAAGTGACAACTTCTCCCGCTTCAATATAGTTTAGAGATAAAAACACATTAGATAATATTACAATACAAATATAATCATATATTTTAGTAATGAAATTTAATAGAGAAGGTACTGAATGAGGTAGATGAATAGAATCACATAAATCGGTAATGAACACACTGAGTTAATAAAAAATATTGTGCAGACAACCGAAGAGTCTTAATGGTCGAAAGATGGAGTGTTAACCATTTCCACTTAGTCACTTCCGTAAGAGGGTAAATAACAGTCAAGCTTTTCAGTTTTGGAGCTTTCATTACACAATCATTCCCATTACAAAAATTTAAGAGCACCACCTCAAGGTTAGGATTTAGGAATGGTATACATAATCCCATTAGCATAGGGCTCAAAATCAATCCATTTTAAAATTGGGGATTTAACAGCAGGAAATATGCTACCAGGTGGAGCATTAACAGGGAAATCAATAAACGCATTCCCAAGTCGGAGTTTCTTAACGGTAGGGCAGGAACTATACATACTGGCACCTGAAACTCCGTATTAAGATCAGGAGCATAAATACAGAGGCTAAGTCCCTCAATTCTATTTCTGGATAGAAACAGACACCACCCATCTATATCAGGCTGAAGAACGGTTGGACCATTTTTTGAAATATGTAGCCCAAATTTCCATAAATTATTTAGAAAAAATGTCCATTTTTTTCGAAAAATATTCTATTTAAAAATTGATTAGCTAGAGGCTTGGGTTAACTAAGGTCCAGTGCATTTGTGCCCCAAGGTGAAGTCTCCCATCAAAGTTGGGGCAGGGAAAACATAAAAACAAAAATGCATAGCCCCTAAGTGAAAAATCTAAATCAAATGAAAAACCCATAATCGCTGCTTGGTGGGAACATCAGATGACGAAGGAGAGGACTGTGGTTACACTGAAATACTAAATATAATATAAACAGTTACTGAAATAACCATGAATATAACCAAAAAGAAGTGCTAAATGCCTTACAAAAGAAACTGAGGGAGAGTTGCGGACGGAGGCGTCGCAGACAAGGATGACGGAGTGGCGGCCGAAGATGTAGCTGGAGTTTCCACGCAGAGGCTGTCGTAGGTTTAGAAAGGGAGAGTCCAGACTCTTATTGTACAACAATTGGGCCTGGTCCAATAAATTTCACTTCTAAAAATATTCATTCGGATAAATAGGCATTGAAATTTCGTATAAAAATAATTCAGTTTAAATATATTGAATAGTCATCTTCCAACTATTCATGATCAAGAACACTTATCATCATTGTTAATATAAATAAGAATTTATAATTATGATTTCTAGATGGTAATTGTATGGCTCACAATTAGCCCCTGATCTAGACATGATTACATTTTCTCCTATAAATAGGAGCATTCTCCTTCATTGTAAACACACCATTATCACACTTCTAATAACATCTTTCTCACTAAGTATTCAGACTATACTTTCTCTCCCTGATCTTCTGCTTATTTCCTTCCATTTTATAACACGTTATCAGCACGAATTTGCTCCACATCCCCGAAATCATCATCTTCCCAGCAGATATGGAGTTAACTAAAATTTCTCCAAGTGGCTCTGAACAATGTCTAATAGACAGTGCCACAACGCACACCATTTTGAGACATAGAGATTATTTTTCTCATATGACATTAGTTGATGCTAATGTCAATACAATCTCAGGTGTTGCTAAACTCATTGAAGGTTCTGGAATAGCCTGTGTGATTCTCCCAAAAGGGACAAAATTAATAATTATAGACGCTTTATACTCCAGTAAATCACGGAGAAATCTTTTGAGCTTTAAAGATTTGCGTCTAAATGGTTTTCATATTGAAACCATGTCTGAAAATCAGAAGGAATATTTATGTCTAACGACAAATAGATCTGGCAATAAATACATTTCTGAAAAAATGCCAGCATATTCCTCGGGACTGTATTATACATATATCAGTCCAATTGAGATAAATGTGGTATCTAAAATTTATGACCACGATTCCTTTATCTTGTGACATGACCGTTTAGGTCATCCAGGCAGCACTATGATGCACAAAATTATTGAAAATTCACGTGGACATTCATTAACTAATGTCAAGATTCCACAATCAAGTGATTTTCCGTGCACTGCCTGTTCTCTTGGCAAATTAATTATCAGGCCATCTTTATACAAAATTGGAGTTGAATCTCCTGCATTTTTAGAAAGAATTCAAGGAGATATTTGTGGGCCAATTACCCCTCCGTGTGGACCGTTTCGATATTTTATGGTGCTCATTGATGCATCAACACGTTGGTCACATGTCAGTCTTTTATCGACTAGAAATTTTGCATTTGCGAATCTCCTTGCTCAAATTATTCGTTTGAGATCACAATTTCCGGATTATCCGATAAAGAAAATCCGACTTGATAATGCAGGAGAATTTACATCCCAATCTTTTAATGACTATTGCATGTCAATTGGGATTGATGTGGAACATCCAGTTCCACATGTACATACACAAAATGGTCTTGCCGAATCCTTAATTAAGCGATTACAATTAATTGCTAGACCATTATTGATGAAATCCAGTTTACCATCATCTGCATGGGGATATGCTACTGCAAATTTAATTCGGCTTAGGCCAACGACATATCATAAATTTTCCCCATTACAATTAATATCTGGTAAAGAACCAAATATATCACACCTAAAAATATTTGGTTGTTCTGTGTATGTACCAATTGCTCCACCTTATCGTACTAAAATGGGTCCTCAAAGAAGGCTGGGAATTTATGTTGGTTTTAAATCACCCTCAATTATTAATTATCTAGAACCTATGACCGGTGACTTATTCACCGCGCGGTTCGATGACTGTCATTTTGATGAGACAGTATTCCCAGCCTTAGGGGGAGATATTAAAGAAATGGACCCACGTACGAAAGATATTACTTGGAATGCAACAAATTTATCTTTTCTTGATTCTCGCACAAATGCTTGTGAACAAGAAATTCAAAAGATTATTCATTTACTAAATGTTGCAAACCAATTGCCTGATGCTTTCACAGACTCAAAGAAAGTGACAAAGTCCCATGTTCCAGCTATGAATGCTCCTTCTCGAATAGAAATTCCTGCGGAGATTAGCGAAAGAACACTTGCTAATGAATCTATGATACGTAAAAAACGTGGTAGACCACTTGGTTCAAGAGATTTGAAACCAAGAAAATTTAAACATCAAGTTGTAGTTTGTGATGCCAAAGAAGTTCAACCTTCTCAAGAAGAAAATGAACATTTTGAAAATATCGGCCTTGAAGATAACATCAATAATAATGATACCTCAAAAGAGGATCCAATCACCTTCGAAGAGGTAAATATTCCAGATAAAGATAGAAACGTTGATAATTTTGAAATTTCAATTAATTACGTTTCTAATGGAATACAATGGAATAGAAATGATATTGATGTTAATGATATATTTTCATATGCCATCGCCACAGATATAATGAATGAACACGATGACAATGAGCCTAAATCTATTGACGAATGTCGTCGTAGAAATGATTGGCCAAAATGGAATGAAGCGATTCAGGTAGAATTAAAATCGCAAGAAAAGCGTAATGTTTTTGGACCAATTGTCCATACGCCAAACGGCGTAAAACCTGTCGGTTTTAAATGGGTTTTTGTGCGTAAACGCAACGAGAAAAATGAAATCGTTAGATACAAAGCCCGACTTGTTGCCCAAGGTTTTTCTCAAATGCCAGTAATCGATTATGATGAGACGTATTCTTCAGTAGTTGATGCTACAACTTTAAGATTTTTAATTGGCATGTCTGTTTTTGAAAGGCTGCAAATGCGCCTAATGGATGAGGTGACCGCATATTTATACGGTTCACTCGATACAGACATATATATGAGAATTCTTGGAGGCTTTAAAATACCTGATGCTTATAGCTCGAAATCTCGAGATTTATTTTCCATAAAATTGCAAAAGTCATTATATGGATTAAAACAATCTGGACGCATGTGGTATAACCGTCTCAGTGAATATTTGATTAAAGAAGGGTATAAAAATGATCCTATTAGTCCATGTGTTTTCATTCAACGATCTGAATCAGGATTCGCCGTAATTGCAGTATATGTTGATGATTTGAATATAATTGGAACTCCTAATGAAATTGAAAATACTGCAAAATATCTCATGAAAGAATTTGAAATGAAAGACCTTGGGAGAACAAAATTTTGTCTCGGCATTCAAATTGAACATTTGAGAAATGGTATTTTCATCCACCAATCAAATTATACCGAGAAACTTTTGTAGCGATTTTACATGGATAAAGCACATCCGCTCAATTCTCCAATGGTGGTTCGATCTCTCAATGTGCATGATGATCCTTTCCGACCTTGTGAAGATGATGAAGAAATCCTTGGTCCCGAAATACCATATTTGAGTGCTATTGGAGCATTAATGTATTTGGCTAATAATACTCGACCACATATTGCTTTTTCTGTAAATTTATTAGCCAGGTACAGTTCTTCCCGAACAAGAAGGCATTGGAATGGTGTCAAACATATATTCCGATATCTCAATGGTACAATCGATCTTGGATTGTATTTCAAGAATGGTGCAAATGCCACTTTAATTGGCTACGCGGATGCAGGATACTTGTCTGATCCACAAAAGGCAAAATCACAAACAGGATATTTATTCACCTATGGTGATACCGCTATATCATGGAGATCAATGAAGCAAACATTAACTGCAACATCATCAAATCATGCAGAATTAATTGCTCTTTATGAAGCAGGTCGTGAGTGTGTCTGGTTGAGATCAATGATCCAGCACATACAAAATGAATGCGGTATAAAATCTTTTACTTCTAATCCTACTGTGATTTATGAAGATAATACAGCATGTATAGCTCAGATCAAAGGAGGTTACATCAAAGGGGACAGAAAAAAGCATATAGCACCAAAACTTTTCTCCACACATGATCTTGAGAATAACGAAACGGTTGATGTCAAACAAATCAAGTCATGCGACAACCCTGCTGATTTGTTCACAAAGTCATTGGCACCGAAGAAATTTGAAGAACTGGTCCATAAAATTGGAATGTATCGTCTTCGAGATATATGTTAAATTGAGGGGGAGTAATATAATGCACTGCACTCTTTTTCCCTTCGTCAGGTTTTTATCCCACTGGGTTTTTCTTGACAAAGGTTTTTAACGAGACAGTACATTATAATACTATGAAACTAATACCCCAGAATAATTAGAAGATGACCATTCAAGGGGGAGTGTTGAAATATATTGAATAGTCATCTTCCAACTATTCATGATCAGGAACACTTATCATCATTGTTAATATAAATAAGAATTCATAATTATGATTTCTAGATGGTAATTGTATGGCTCACAATTAGCCCCTGATCTAGACATGATTACATTTTCTCCTATAAATAGGAGCATTCTCCTTCATTGTAAACACACCATTATCACACTTCTAATAACATCTTTCTCACTAAGTATTCAGACTATACTTTCTCTCCCTGATCTTCTGCTTATTTCCTTCCATTTTATAACAAATTCCAAATTGTTCATGTAGTGATAAACTGATAATCAATAAAAAATTGAAACGCTTTTTCACATCGAATAAAAATTCATGATCTGTTGTAGGGAAGTGAGAGTAGTGTGTTCATTCCATTAGTAAGCCCCCTTTAAATAGGAGGGATTAGGGTTTTACAAGGAGTGGGCCAATGGGCCAATTAGCTCAATACATATAATCCCTAGGTACACTTTCTATCTATAACGAATGCACATTAAAGTACTTTCCTTCAACACTCCCCCTTGTGCTGAGTTGTAGATAGCATGATGCACACCAAGCTAGTTGTCGTGTAGGAACTTCGTCAAGTAACAAAAACCCTGTGGGAAAAATAAACCTTGACGAGAAACTAGAGTTTATTGGACTTCGTTCATTGAGTCCTTTTGGATTCTTTACCTTGATCGTTACTCACAGTTACCTCGTTAAAAACCTTACCAAGTAACAAAAACCCAATGGGAGAAAATAAAGCTTGGTTTAAGGAAAAGAGTATAACGTGAGGGTGTAAGACTCCCCCTGAAGTCTACACCTCCCCTT